TGTGTGTGTGTGTGTGTGTGTGTGTGTGTGTGTGTGTGTGTGTGCAATGCATGTATGTATGCAAGTGCGTGTCTTTGTGAGTGCGCGCGCACGGAGATTGAGGGGGAGAGGGTGTCTGGGAGAGAGAATAGGGACACGGATAGAGAGAGAGAGAGAAAGAGAGAGAGAGAGAGAGAGGGGGGGTCACAATTAGTTGAATAAGAACCCAATACTGTTGTAGATCCACCCCCTGTCGAAGCTGCCCCATGCCGAGGTCGAATTTGCACCAACCCCTGTCGAAGCTGCCCCATGCGGAGGTCGAATTTGCACCAACCCCTGTCGAAGCTGCCCCGAGTGACGGTATACATTGTACTACAAAATCGTGATCGGTTGAAAATTTGGAATGCAAATCGAGTAAAGAACAAAATAATCGAGAAGTAGAATTGCTGCTTTACACAACGGTACCAAAATAGTCTGTGTTCTTTCATAAAGGCGGGAGCAGTATCGGTTACTTTTGCGGCACTACACCAACCTGTCGAAGTTGCCCCAACCTAGCTCTACATGTAGTTTATACTACAAGAAACTAGCACAGAAAGAAACACGACACTCCAACGGATGTGCAATTCAGCGTTTAGGTCTAGTCTCAAAGTCCATTTTTGTTCAGTAAGAATTTTTCGTCAACTCTGTAAGATCACATTAAGCGCTAGAGATTAGAGGTGTTACACGAGAGTAACATTTGTAACGAACACAAAAAAGAAGGAAGAGAGATCGGGACTATAGATGTTTGATAGGAAAGAAGAAGCAAACCACACGTGAGCACCCACCAACCACCCGCTCGAAGTCCATGGTAGTCAGAGACATCGTCAATCCTAGACAGACGCAGACATCTAGAAAAAAAAAAAGAGGAGGGAATCAGGAATAAAATAAGCCTATACAATATTATGATACCGTCTCGATATTATCTGACATGAGTCTATTATATCGTAAGCTGACAAGCAGCAATCCTTCCACTTGCTTCACACCCAAGACAAGTTATCAAAAGCGTGACTTTCGTTACCAACCCTACAACGGAGGACTTGTATTATTGTGAATGCACGATACTGAATGGTACAGCTTTATCTAATGCCTCTTTTAAAAAAACTGGACCCTTATTAAAAAGGGCAGAACCTTCGATAGATGTTGTATCCATTGCCAATAGGATTAAGCTGAGCAGTAGAAAGCTATAGATCTAGCTATGAGCCCC